AGGTGAGTTCTATCCGAATATACATAAACAAACTCGAGTACCTTTGAATGAACTCGTGTATAGGAGTAAGTGACCCAAACTGAAATGAACTTGGGCTGCTTGGGCCACTTGATGAATCTGCTAAAGTGAGAGCAGCCCAGCTTCTCCGAGTAGTTTGGGCCGCATGAGTTATTAAATTAATCACTCAGAGGTATTCGTGTATAATTGTCAGCGTGTTAACTTAAATACAAGATCTTTGGATATAATTAATTATAATGGTTAAAGGGTTTGTCATCCGGAGAAAGGGGAGAGGTTAGAAAAAAAAAAAATTCGCACATTTTCATTAAAATTAGAAAAAAAATGTAACTCATTAGAAAAAAGTTTAATTTCTTGGGTTTGAGAATAGCGTTTATTCTCATAATAAGATGAAATATGTCAAAAAAATAAATTTATTAAATTAATTAAAAGAAATTATATAATGAAAAGTTAAAGAAAACATTTTGATTGCTAAAATTCCTATTTATCTCTTATTTTTCAGAAGGAAAATCCATATTTAAATTATATTTTTAAAAGGCCCTAAATAAATCATTTCTTTACAAATCAAACCCTTAAGCATCTTCAGGTCTTTGATATTTGATTCAACGCAAAATGCGAGTCTGTTTCTTTTAGCGTAACCCAACTACCACTTCACAAAATGACCACCTTCCTCCTCCTCCATCTCCTCCTCATATCCGCCGTGTCCTCCGCCGCTCCGATCCCTGGCCTCGACACTTTCCTGACCCACCACTCCCGCCTCGACCGTTACTCCTCTAATGACTCCTTCAACTCCCTCCCATCCTCCCTCAAATCTTCCCTCTCCAACTCCAATACTCTCCCCCAAATCTCCTCCCTAATCTCCTCTCTCCTCTCTCTCTCCGTCCCCGTCTCCCTCAACGTCAAACTCGTGGGCTCCACCTCCACTTTCCCTTCTTCCGCCCCTTCCCTCCTCCACTCGTACTTATCAGCCGCCCACGTCGCCTCCCGCTTCCACGTCATCTCCGATCACTCCGACGTCCATTCTCTCTCCATCTCTCACTCCCCCCATGTCGACATCTCGCTCTCCCCTTCGCTCTCGTCACGACTCTCGCAGACCCTCGAAGCCCTCTTGGCTTCTTCGATCTCGCCGCTTCGGCACACGCTTGTTCCCGTTTCGTACGAGTCCATTGATGAGATAATTAAGCAGGATTTTGAGAAGGATAAAGGGGGAAATGGGGTTTTTATTTACTTGCTTTCTTTGGGGTCTATGGGGAAGAGTTATGCGTATAGTTACAGTCATGGGGATTCTTCGCCCGGGGTTACGAAGTGTTTGGGGAGTATTTGGACTGGGAAAGAGAGGTATATTTGGGTTGATCTTGGTGCCGGACCGGTGGATTATGGGCCAGCTTTGTCCGGTGATGGGGTTTTGGCTAAAGGGGAGTTTCATCCTTTTGCCGCGTTTCATGGTCGTCCCAAGTCGCAAAAGGCGCTGCTTGCTGACCTAGCCTCGGTCGTTTGGAGTGCTTATCAGGTAAGTTGTTTTAAGTGTTTGAATTATCACAAATAATTTTTCTTTTATGTGGTATTGACGTGTAATTGATGAACTAATGAAGACATAGGAAGATACATCACTTGAGCTCAAGTGAAATTTGTGTGCATCACTTTCTGTTTTAGGATTGTTGAATTGTGTTGATTTTGGGAGTTGAATCGTAAGTTTTAAGTGTTCGAATAATGTTACTCGTCCCAAGTAGTATCTTCTTGCAAATAATGAGTTAGTGATATTTCCATGTCACATATGATGATTATCACTTGCGATAGGAAATTGAGGATACTATTATATTTCCTCATTTGTTTTCAGTTTCTAGTCTGTTGATTTGTGGTGATTTTATGTGTTTATTAATGTTTTTGGTTGTTTTGTTGGTTTTTGTTTTTAGGTGCTTGTTGTGCCTTCTTTGAGGATTCCTGTGTATTTTGAGAACTCGTTGGTTGTTCAGTTTATACATGTATATGGGTCGGAGAGTGGAGAGGATTCAAGTGGTTTGGATTGGAAATCGGTTGAGAGGACATTTATGGATGAGGTTCATGATGGTGGGTTGTTGTTCGGAGATCAGTCTTTGAGTTTCAAAAATTATAAGGTGAATTTTGCGGAGTGTTCAATTTGTTCCTATGCGATTTCAAAGTCGATTAATTCTTATACGTCGAGGTTTTTGTTTGATAATTATACATTGATTGTGAGTGAGTATGTGGACTCGAAGAAATTGCATCGTATATTGTCTGAGTCAGCTGAGGAGTTTAGGAGGGTGGCAGGGATCCCTGAGGAAGATTTTCAGAGGGTTCTTCCTGTTTATGTCTTTGATCTGGACTATAACATGCTGTTATTGCTTGATCGTTATCACCAATCTGTTGCCTTTAGAGATATGGTTATTGCAGTGAGGACAAAGAATTCTCAGACTGTGAGTGATTATAGCTGTAATGGTCGTCACGTGTTTATACAGACAAGGGAGCTAGAGCGACCTCTTGTTGGTTCAATTCTGCAGAGTATGTGGGGAGTGTCGCCTACCCATTTGTCGTGGAGCCCAATACATAATAATACTTTAGTAGATTACACGTGGAGTATTGGGCAGACACCGTTTGGGCCATTCTCAGAGATTTCATCATTGTCTTTTGTACAGAAGGATTCAGCTCGGAGGAATGTTCTTCTGACCTCATTGAATTATAGTATAACAAGTGCCGTTGATGTTCTTGAATCTGTGGCTGCTCATGGTGGGGACAGAAAACTTCTTAAACAAAAGCAGCATGTTGAGTTTGTACAGAGGTGGAACTTGTTTAAGTACAAGATTGACAAGGCAGTTTCTGCTTTGTCACATTTGGACTTTGAGATGGCGTTGTATTACTTAAGGTCATCAGATCACGATCTATATACGATGCACTCTCTTGTATACCATGCATCTCAAGAATTGGAAGCATCACTCGTGTGTTTCAAGGACCCACCAGTTCCATGGGGTTCAGTCTTAATGACTGTTGTGGGTTTCCTAGCTCTCTTTTTTGTTTATGCAAAAAGAGACAAATTCTTTAGAAACAAGAGAAAGCAATTTTGAAGCTTTAGAGGAACAAAAGTTTGTATCATTCGAACACAAAAACCACATGTTTTTACTTGACAGAGTTAACTATCTGAGATCAGATTTGCACAAAACTTTTACTGCAGCTCAAGCTGGCATTTTACTCTGTTGCTCAACTGTTCAATAGCGCTTCTTAATATCTGTCAGGTGTGTGTTGTAAGTTTAGAATTGCCGGATGAATGTTACTAGAATGAAATTCATTGGCATTTTGTAGTAGTCGGAATGCATCTTTTCTTTTTTACCTTAAGAAGTGGTGACCTTTGTTTAGTCCTGCAATTTGTTTATTTTGCCTATTACATAATGGGTAGGTTTGGCTTGCAATTCACAGTATTCCAGGTTTACATAACTGCTACTGGTGTTGACATCCATTTATTTCATTTGATTGCGGAGCAATGATATCACTGGTTTTTTTAGTATGAAGTAAGCATGAGGTCCAATGCAGTGTTTGATCGGAAACTTACTGGGACGATCCATCAGTGAAATGATGGAATGGTTGTCGTCTTCATAGTAAAGGCATGCAGATCATAGACCCTCCTTCTAAAAGATGTTTGATGTTATGTTGAAATATAGAGAGGCTAAGTTTAGTATTAAACTTTCCTATATTATGTGTTGTGACCGCAGGTATGAGTCATCTTGGCGGTAACTTTCATGCAGAATCCTGAAAGGTATTGCAGCTTGATTTATGATATTAATTCAGCAGAACCAGCATGGTCTTTTTATTAACAACAAACTCAAACAGGCAAAACATATACACAAATATTCAGGTCGTGAGTTAACAAAAACATCAAAATCTAGCGGGCAGAGTATCATTAATCCATTATATATATAATTTGGTTAAGCTTTCTATGGAAGATGGCAAGTGTTGTGTGGTAAATCCTAAAGCATGAATCATTTCCCGTCTCGTACTTTTTAGGTTAATTTTATTTACAAGTTTATCATTATAATGCTATATGAGTCAATTTTTTACCCTAATTGGGGGTTTGGATTACTTGTTTCTTCACGGCCGCACTTGTACACAAAAAGAGCAAAGAAAAGAGTATAACAACAGTAGACGTAGGATTTGCACCAAGTATCCGAACCATTGTAAAAAAAATTCTTGTGTTATTGTTTGTTTTATTATTCATCTATTGATCTAGTATCGAAACCACGGGTTTTATACAAACTCTTACATAGATCTTATATACTTTTTGTCGGTGTAAATTTCTACGTCAACAAGAAGTTCTAACGCTAATCACTGATCAAGTATTTTGACCTCATATTTTATTTATATTTCATACTTATACTAATTTTAATATTTGGCTTAAATTATTAACACAAATTTATTAATTTAATATCTTGAAAGGTGTGAACTTGACACCATTGGATTAGAATGCTAGTCAAGCTTATGGGTATTAGTGTTAGTTTTCAGACTTTATGGGTTAACATATACAAAATCTAAAGGGGAAATTTAACTAAGTCCATATACCCCTTTCAGCATGTCTAATTTCCCGTTGCCCCTCCTTTCCAATCATCTCAACTTCCCTCGTCTCTTCAAAAACTCAAACCCGCTCTTTCACAGAGAGTGAGAAAAACCAGTAAACAATTCGCAGACCTCAAGAGAAGAAGAACAAGAAGGCATTTGGGCTTAAATTTGGAACTCAAGGAGGCCAGATTCGGCTCATTAGAGAGGAGAACAAGGTCAGTCGCTCGGTATTTGAAATTAAAATGGGTTTTTAAATGTTTGGATTTGTGTTGCGGTTTTTTTCTTGAATTTGGGGTAGGCTATGGAGTCAGGCGTTGTTTTGTTAGATATTAATTTTTAAGGGTTTTTTTTTTTTTTTTTTTTAAAAGTAGTGGGAAATCTTTTTCCGGCTGGATTGTGGGTTTCCAGTGGCCGGAAAACGATTTATGAGAGAGTTTCGTGGGGCTGGTTATGAACTACCTCTCCTTCTCCCACAAAATGTGGGCTTATTAAGGTTTTAAATTTCTTGTCTTCTCCTTGCATTTTGCCCCTGTTTTTTTATGAATAAAGTTTCGATCTTCATGTGTATAGTAATCAAAATTTTGATTTTGCAGGAGACCCATAATGAAAGTCAAGATCTTGCGTATCCTTTTGCTGTTTATCTACCTTTTATTAGCTTAAAATTTATCCTCTCTTGTGGGTTGATGCAACTGGGACTCTTTGATGGGCTGTGATCAGTTCTTCTAAATCCTATATCATACTTTTACTTTAGAAGAAACTAAAGAGATTTATATAATCACTGTATTGTGTTCTAGTGAAAAGTTGATAAGATTATAATACTAAATCATAATTTATTTGTTTGAGTGATTTGTAGTCAATTCTTATATCAGCTTACTTAGTAGTCATTGATTGAATTTCACTTGCCAATATGAATTTTGAGCCCCTTCATTTATCTTTCACAGAGTTAATCCTTAACCTAGTTTCTTTTTGAATGTGTGCCGGGCTTTAAACAGAGTATGTTCTCTTCATCTCCTGTATGTTTTTTCTATTTCAGTTCAGCATCGATTATATTCGAATGAATTTGTTGTGTGATATGAATTTTTATTATTTTTGAGTGTAAACATGTCTCATGAATTTTGAGGCTGGATGAAACTATTCATGTTCTGCAGAATTCACAACCTTCTCTTTTGTATGCTGAAACTATTTGTGTTCCTTGTATGATTCTTTTTAGGTGGCATGCTGTTGCTTCATGGACTTGGGATGCACAAGATGAAACTTGTGGTATTTGTAGGATGGCTTTTGATGGTTGCTGTCCTGATTGTAAACTCCCTGGGGATGATTGCCCACTGAGTAAGCAGCTAACTTCAGTCCCTGCTATGACCATTTCATAAGTTGTTTATGGTACCGATCTGGTGACATTGTTAAAGCTTTAGATTCTGAATGAAGGGATCGATTAAATTGTTGTTGCATGTATAAATTAGCTTTACTGACTATTGTTATATTGCAGTTTGGGGTGCCTGCAACCATGCTTTCCATCTTCATTGCATCTTGAAATGGGTGAATTCACAAACTCCTCAAGCACATTGTCCCATGTGCCGAAGGGAATGGCAGTTCAAAGGATGAAAGTTTCAGCTCGATTGAGTTCATTACTTCAATTTCTGTCTTCCCGACTAGTTGACAATTTGATTGAGTTCAAAGGATGAAGGTTCCGGACTTCTGTCTATCCTACTCTGCGATCAGTTCTAGTGTCTTTGCTTCTCCTCAAGCACGTTGCTACACATTGAAAGCATTTGTTTTTTCTTATAATACTGGCATCAAGTATCATGATAATGTTAAGTACAAGACTGTCTTAGTATATTTTATTTGTATCGTCGTTTTTAGATTTTGATGGACTGAAAAAGTGAAAAATTACATACCAACTGCCTTCTTTTTCAGATTTTCTCAAGAAAATCAAATGCATTAACACATGGAAAGCTAAGACAGATTCGCACAAACGTTAATATATTTTTCTCCAGTATTGAAATAAAGCGACACTACAAACGAGTATAAATTCACGGGCACAACTTATTGAAAACTACAAAAATGAACAATAAAATTTAGCCTAAAAGATACATAACACAAGCAAATTTGTTCAGTTATCTGAGTCAGTATCAATATAATTTTGAGGACCCCAGAACTTTGAATCATGCTGATCTTCATTTTTTGAAATAGGGCAAGCAGCGTGAGAGAAATTGCTGAACTTTATGAGTCCACGTTCGCTATAGGTAGCAGTTGCAATACGACATCCATTAACAGCCAAGGCCGAGCACCCTATGACTGTTTTTGTTTCCTCAGAAGAACAACAGAGCAAGGAATTTGTTTGCATACCGGTGTCAGTCTCCCAAATATTGACATGCAAATCTTCTGGCCCTCCTGTTACTACTTTGTATGGATCCATGTGTAGATGTGTTACCGGACCTGTGTGTCCATCCAACTCTGCAACTGGTTCTAATTTTAGAGTCTCCTGGCTTCTCCTTATATCCCAGAGCATTGCCCTGCAGTAAAAGCATTTGTTATTCTCAGATTAAATTTAAGACTGACTCCAAGCAACGTGATATGGAAGAATGTTTTAGAATATTGTTGATCAAGAAATTTTATGATTATTAGCTTCAACAAGAATAACAAAGTATTAAAACAATAAGGTTTCAAACATCAAACGTCCTTGGAATGAAATGAATATATTGCATTGGAATGTATTTAGAGTATTTCCATTTACAAGCCTTAATTGGAGATAACAAAAACTATAATGACAGCTCTATGGTATCCAAGCACAACACTTAACCCGACAATCAACCATGTAATCATAATTAAGGAACAGAAGAAGATGAATCCCAATTCCCAGAGAAAAGTCTTACTTGCCAATTCCACCAATGCAGATCAAGGATTTTGAGGGCAAAATAGAAAAGGAGCATAATTTTGGTTGATCGATTGCTGCAGTGATGACCTTTTGCATTGTCCTCAAATCAATCATAACAACAGAAGAACCAGCAGCAACATAAAGCAATGATTCATGGCATTTCATGTCCACAGGAGTACCAGTTACAGAAGTCATTCCCACACAGCATGAAGAACGAACAGCAGATGATGTGGATGTATCCCAAACCCTCACCTATAGAAAAACAATGCAGTTTCTTTTATGCTGAATGAATAAAATAGTTGACTGTAAAGACCTCATAAGTTAAAGCATATTGAGAAAATTAAGAGATGTGGTAAAGCAATTCATAATGGAAACAATACCTTAGAATCTCTTGACATGCTCACCAAAAGAGAGGTCCTATGCCTGGACGAAACACAACAAACATGGATTAGTTTAGTCAGAGAATAGCTAAACTTGAAGGCTTGGGATCTGAATAACTAGAGGGAGCTAAGCACATACAACAAACATTTCCGGCGTTCTCATGCAATAGAGTTGAAATTCATGAATTAATAGCCACTTTATCATCCTAGTTTAAAGTTTGCTAGTGATCCACCAGTCATTGGCTTAATTCCAAAATTGTGTAAAGGAACAACTTAAATACAGGATCTTAAAATCTAACTATTCAACTTTTTGGTAAGGGACTACCAAGTTAAACTTGTACAGGTCTCTACAATCATAAATGCAATCCAGCAATTTTAACTGATTTAATAAGGTTGAATTTAGGCCATAAAGAAATCTATAATAAGATCTTTCAAATTGAGCAAATTAAAAAAAAAAAATTGTGTACAGGTTCATCTTTTACACTTGTCAACATAGATTTTGATATATTGATAATTTCTTTAGTATATGAATCAGCTGAACACATCAATTCATACGGCATAAGATTCTACTAACAAATATTCAGAAATGCAGGCTATTAAAACCTAAAAGATTCAAATTTTCTAGTTTCAGCATGAGAAAATTAAGCTGCTATAACCTTATTTATGAAATCAAATCATACCCGGCAACTGACATCAATTTAACAGGTTTCTCATGCCCGTAAAATGTAGCCTTTAAAGCATGTTGACCTCGTTTTCCACTAGAGTTAAGAGCCCAAAGGCGGACAGTACCATCTTCTCCACCACTCGCCAATAGTCTGCTGCCAGCATCACCTAACAATTTATCTGATAAGGTGGACACTGGACCATTATGACCTTTAAAACATCGTTGGAAGGAACCCTACAGTCATGAGACACATATTCAAGAGGTTGAAAAAGATTAAAACAACAACATAAAAGTTAAACAGTTTCTTCATGTTCCCGGAACAAAATTATAAAAATCAGAAAAATATCAATAATCAGAAATGATATATGTTCATGTAAGTGATTAGTCCATCGAAACAAGCACGGATTCTTAGGAGCCAATTAATCAAACAACCAAACTTCACACACCTTCCACCATATGCGAATGGAGTGGTCGCAGCTGGAGGTTACCAAGAAATTTTCTTTCCTTCTTGCACCTCTACATAAAGATGTATCATCAAGAACAAACAATCTGCAGATTATACCATCATACATCAGGAAACAATCTTCATTTCTTCATATCTGTTTACTAATAAGACCTGTATTTAGTACAGTCCACAAAGCTTCCAACCTTGTATGAAACGAATATATGTTTATGTTTTCCATGTAAAAAATAAGATATTTAAAGTGATTCATGCTTAATTTCCTGCTTTACTATCTTGATTGCACAATAGGAAGTTAAGTATATGAAAAAAGAAGTATGCAAAGAACAAATAACCAACTTAACGACAAGAAAAATAATTTGTTCCAAACCGTTAAGAGTTACAAACAGTAGAAAAATTAATATATAAGAATGTTGTGCTTTGAATTCTCAATACAAGTCCATGAAATAGTAAGTAAAAGATCTTGAAATAAGTAACAGATTAACTAATAAACAGTGGCAGTGAGCCAACGTGCTAAATACTTAAAGAAAATCCAACAAAAGATCTCACCTCATGCAAGTAATCCTAGCATTATGATCAGATCGTACCCCAGGAGAGTCTCTTTTGGTAGGATAGTTATCAATGAAAATCGTTTGTAAGGAAGGACCCTAAAAACATACCAACCGAAGTTAAAATCACAATGAATTAGGAAACAATCCACTATCCTCTATTTTCAGATGGAATCAGAGCATTAAACAAATTAATACCTGCGAAAAGAAAATATTACTTTTGTCCATTAGCATATGATCAAAAGGTTTTGGTGCAGTATGAAAGTGGCAAACCCACGGATCCACAAATTTGAACTGTTGCAATGCTTTATGCCTCGCCAAATATGCTTCCCTGCCTCCCAATGTTTGCAAAGAGCCTGAAAGTAATTCTTGGGACCAAGGCCATTGTTCCCTATATAATCAGAAAGAAAAACTTAGCTACGAACATAAAATGTTCTCATATATACATTCTTCAAACATCTAAACGTCAGATCCATCATACTGATGATGCCCGACCCGATACTGCTCTTCTCCTACAATGAAAGATGAAATGTAAAAATATGGTTTCGTTCATTTTCCCCGGAGCCATCAATTTCTGAAACAATACATGAAAATGCTAGTGTTACCAAATGGCAATCCCGGTAACATTACCGGCGGCAGCAGCATGATCGTGAATTGTTTATCAGGTGAAGCATTTGCAACATTGAAAACACATGATTGATAAGTTATTTTTAACTACCCCTGTAAGCTAGACTACCGGGAAGTAATTTGAAGTTACGTTACTTAAAGAAATACAAAAAAAAATTAATTTTTATTATACCGTCCACTTCTGTACACTAAAAAGATTAAAAATTTCTACACTTCGAATAAAATGAGATAACAAAAATGGTCTTCTTGTCGAAACAGAACCGGTAAGGTTGCTGGGGACCAGTTATGATGTTCCTAAACTAGAAAAATAGAATAAAAGAGGGAGAACCTGAAGAGACGAAGCCAGACGGAGTCAGAATAAGCAATTTGTCGGAGAGATTTACAGGAGATGGCCAAGTTTGAGATGTCTTGTAGCTTGAGGTAGGAGGCACAGTGGGCCAGCGCGTCCTCCTCCAAGTCCGTGATTTTCGTATGCTCGGCCGATGGTGGTGATGACGACTCCGCCATGGTTTGATTTGATTGATTGCTGGAATTTGTATTGGATTTTGATTTTTCGATATTTTAATTTTTAAACAAAACTGCCATGTTTCGGACATGATAATAGCACACTCATTGCGTTTCTAGAATCTAGAGTCGAGGCTTGTCACTGCGCGTGTTTGGGCGAATTTCGTTGAGTACCCGTTAGTTTCAGAAATGTAACACTAACCCTCGGAGCGTTTATCGCTGGTTTTGAAAATGCAACCCTAACCCCTTTTTTTTTTTTTTTTTTAAAATGGCTGTTAGACTATTCTGATTAAGTTTAAAAGAAATGACGTTTTTATTGTTCATTCAAACTTAATTAATCTAGCATCTAAAATCTATCAACAATGTTAAGAAGATAATATTTTTTTTAAGGTTAAATTGATGAAATTGTTAATAAATTTGAAGGTTAAAAGTGATAACATTTCTAAAATAAAAAATATTCACTAGAAATAGGTCAAATTCACAGGGTTTTACTATGAAAAAACCCTTCAATAGTTAGGGTTCGACTATAAGGTTATGAAGCACATAAACCTGTAAGCAGTTTGAGCTTAACCATGAATAACCAATGTATTTTTCCTCTAAAATTCTAACCCTATGTTTGTTTCTCTCTTTCAAATCATTTTTCTGTTATCTTATTTGAATTAAAAAACAAAATATATGTTTGTCTACTTATTGGGATTATTATTTTGAAAATTAATCTGAATTGAATAAGATTTTTCTATTGAAAATGAAAAATGGGTGGGACTTGTTTCTATTATCCTATTCTAATATCTTTCCAACTTTATTCAATTAAAAACAATTGTATTTCACAATAAAAGTTTATAAATTAATCAAAACATTCCACCCACCCAAGCCATTGCTAGCCGCCAACAACCATCGGCTATCATCGATCGTTGCCGTTGAAATGACACACAATCAATCAAATCCAAAACAGAAGTCCATCATAAATCTAGCCGAAAACGGCTAGACTTTGACTTCTAATGACAGCTAGATCTATCTAGCCATTGACAACAGCTTTATTTTTGAGGCTATTTTTGTTAATTTTTAAAGTTTTGTTATAAAAGTGGTAACTAAATTAACAATTATAAGAGTTAAAATAAACTAATATTTTCAAAAAATATACCCAACAACTATTCAACCTTTTATCTAACTCTTTTATTTTACACTTTATGCCGCCGCGGAGAACTCTTGAACGGTATATATATATTATTCAGATTGATAAAATCATGCCACGTAAATTATTCTGGAGAAGAAAAATGAAGGCATGAAAGAAACTACTACTTTTATTAACATCATTATTCAGCCTCATGAAAGCTACAAAATCTCATCCTCGGAACAATAATATAATATAAGATAAATCATAATACAAGAGATCTCAGTCTCAATTAAAATAACCATGAAAATAAACACATACAATTTTTTTTTTTCTTTTTATTACACAAATCCTGCGATCGTTGCAGCCAGGTAAACAGCTGCTATTGATGGAACCGAAGATGATGAATAGAGAAGGTGGTGGGGCAATTTACAGCAAGATTATGCAAAAGATCATAAGATTGTTGTTTATAACAGAGTTGAAGAGAAACTAAAATATGAAAACCACACTGTCATGAACTCTAGACTTCTGGTTCTGAGCCACACACTCAGATATCCACATCAGGTTCCTGATCTCCTGCTCCCTCAGCCTCATGTATGCGAAGAAGACACCATAATGGAACTGCAGGTAAGAAAATGCGACGTTAAGTTACTTCCAAGGCTGTCAAAATATAAAGAACATTAGTGTTTAATGTAAGCAACAGTTCTTGGTAACTGGATCACAAACCTGCTGCTCAAATGCTAAGCAAAGCCTTTTCACCTCCTCTTCATAAAATGCCTTGTCGAGCATTTGGCTCTCTCCATATGACAATTTAGAAAAGATAGAATGATATGGAGGATATTTTTCCATAACACCGCGAACCTACATAAGCAACACACAGATGAGCACCATATGTAATTACATTCTCAAGGAAGTGCTAACAAATCAAATGATTAACCGTCGTTTTCAATTCATCAAGTCCTTGCACCATGCACAAAGCATAATAACTTAGCATGCTTTCACAAATTGTAGTCCACTACAGTAACTGGTTGGATTTTGAACAAAGAATGACTAACGCATTAAATCACCAACAATCAGTAACCATCAAGAGACACCTTTCTAGAAGAAGCCAAACCACAACAGGGCTCATTCAATATTTAGTTCTAAATATAGAGTAATATGAAATAGACCGCTATATAGTATAGAGAATGGAAGCAACAGTAACAACAAAAACTCTTGCCCATGTGCCAACCACCCAGGACTCACAAACACCAGAGTAAGCGATCATGGATCATTTTTCAAAGCTGCTTGAGTGAAACTGAAAACAAACCTGATCTATATCCTCACAGACGGCAAGTTCCTCATGGCCATAGGGATAACTGTACATAAGCAAATTATTGTCAGAGAAGCATATCCAAACAGCAGATACAAACCAAAGTAAGACTTAATTGAGTAAAGAGCTTACAGTAACCCAAAGTTAGAGTACAGTTTCCGACGATCATCCCGGGTAAGCTCAGTCCCAATACTGCAGAACAATAAAAACAAAAATTAAGGATTAAATATCGTAAAATCTGAATAGAAGAAACATATAGATACATATGTTAAATTTCAGTGGGCAAGCAAATATGGTAACAGTACCTATTTATGCTGATATTGACAGCCCTTCTGTCAGCCTCAAAAGCTAGGAGGTCAGACATGATCTCTGCAGTGGCACCACCCAATTTCTATTGGAAAAAACAGATTACACTTGTTAAGAAAATAGTAAGAAAACAGTAAGAAAACTTTGCATATGAGAGGAGGGGGAGAGGAAAGTGGGTCTTTCTTAATTTAGCAATCAACCCTAACCTGACAAAACTTGTAAAAATCTTCAAGGTAAGCCTTGTAAAGAGTGTTCCTCATTATTTCGATGTTCATATCATCCAAATCCTACAAGGGAACAAATTGAATAAATCAGCAAACCACAGGATACCGAAAGGTCACTTAACAACTGAATATAAAACAGCAAAAATCTTTCAAGATGATACTTCTATGGATAAAGATGAGATCCCATTTCTCCACAATTACAATATTATTACATTAATAAGGTGGAAATACATAGAAATGAAAAGTTTCTTTTTTTTTTTTTTAATAAGGACATTAGAGATTTGTTATTATTATTAATAAGGACATCAGAAAAATGATTCCATATAATGTCTGGAAAAAGTTTATAATTTTTTCCTACCTAAAGGTGCTAATTAGTGTCTTCCAAACCCTTCTTTAAAAGACTATAAAGCAATTTCAAATACGAAAGAGGGACCTATAANACATTAATAAGGTGGAAATACATAGAAATGAAAAGTTTCTTTTTTTTTTTTTTTTTTTTAAAATAAGGACATTAGAGGTTTGTTATTATTATTAATAAGGACATCAGAAAAATGATTCCATATAATGTCTGGAAAAAGTTTATAATTTTTTCCTACCTAAAGGTGCTATTTAGTGTCTTCCAAACCCTTCTTTAAAAGACTATAAAGCAATTTCAAATACGAAAGAGGGACCTATAACTGACATTTCTTAGAAGTAAAGCACCAACAAGCATTACCCCTAACATACAGAAACAACATAAAAGTGTAAGACCTGCTAAAATATGATGCAAGATAATCAGCTCTGACACAAATCATATCGTCCATACCTCAGATGTAATACATTCAGAAAAGTATGGAGCTAATGGTGTGTCGACAAGCACCAATCTGTAAAGCTCCCGCATATTTTGAGCAACTGCCAGTGTAGCAATGCTGATGGTGGAAAAGGGGAAATTTTAAGAAAATCTTATGAGACATCAAAAGTTTTAAGATGAAAATCACATAGAGTAATTATACCTGTCAAACATGCCCAAAGGATGGCATTTCTCCAATAATTCCTGAACATCTCTCTCATGCAAGGTTCCAGTAACAATCAAGACAACATTGTCTATCATGTGACCATATCTGGATAAAACAACAAATATTTTAATTCTACCTCTCTAATAATTGATTTTATAAAAAATAAAAAAAATATACTAAGTTCACCTCTACACCTATTTAAAACAAAGCTTCCAAGACAAACCCAATTTTGTACAATAATCAAATACAGAAATAATATTAAGAAAAAAAAAGAGCTGCGTACGTGATATACTCTAAGAAGGTTGACAAAGGCTCAGTGGCTTGGCACAACATGTGCTTATACTCATCAACCAATTTAAGAGTGCATTTCTCCACAATCGTAGTTGTATGCAATGGTGAAGGTTCTGCAAGCAAGTTCAAAGACCCGGTAAGCATGATCAGTGACTTCTAAGACACATAATACTAATTAAAACTGAACCAATCCATTTAGATGAAAGTGAATTAAAAAAAAAAAAAGACTCTACTGACTGAGCTCTAAAAAGAGTCATTCCCCACACACATATCAAGAATACAATTGTATAATTCATTACCCGTTCAGCTCAATCCAATATAGAAAAAGCATAATTAACGCTATCAATCACATATTTCCATTAAAATCAAACATTCTACTCTAAATCAAACCTTAACACCCCCCACTATTAAGAAACACAGCTGAAACCACATTTTTGAAAAGCAAAATAAAAATCCCAAATCGTTAAATCAACCACCCACATAAACACACTAAAATCCAAATTCATCTAAGCTAAAACTCTCCCAAATCTCCAATCAACATTACACAACCAAAGATCCAAACTTCCACTTCAATTCCTTCTCCAATCCACCAAAAAGCACCGTTTCCATATCATAAACTCAATCAGCACAAAAATCACTTCAAAAATCCGTGAAAATTAAACAACAATAATCAAAACCTAAAACGAATAAAATCAAAACACACCGTTTTCAACTCCAAGACTCCAATCACGCTAAAATTACTTAAAATCCACGCATATTAGACAACAAAAATAACTAAACCCACCGTTTTGGAGGTAGGGACCGTACTCGGTGGCAGAGAGATGCATCTTGATATCGTCCAGGGTTTCACACTGGCAGAGATTGTTGTAATCAGCGGCCGTCAAGAGCCCGGCCCTGTGGCCCCTCACGATCGCCTCCAGGTAACCGCCGTGAATGTTGAACGTCATTGCTTCGAATCCGTACATTTTTCTCTACAATTATTGAAACCGAAACCGAAATCCAAATAGAGAGAAGAGAGTGAGAGGTGGTGTTCGGTTTTAATAAATAAAATTAAAAAACGCAGATCAGATTCGTAGCAAAAACAGATCTGTTTTCATAATAATTCCGAAATTGTTTTCTGTTTTTTTTTCGTTTTCGTTTTTTGTTTTGTTGTGTGAACGAAAGATCAGCGGTGAGACAACGAAATTACTCTTTTGGGCTTGGGTGCATAAGTAATTGTTTCGGTGGGTTTAGTAACCCTGAGTTGGATCAATCTTGGGCCTGATTAAGACAAATCAGGCCCAACTAATAACAGCTTAGTCCATGGGTAATGAAGCCCAATTTTATTTCTATTGAGATATTTTATTTAGGAAAGAATAAGAGTATTGGGGTAATGTTACCCCACTTCCGGCAACATTACTCCCCAATAATATAGTGTTATTCTATTCATTTCTATAAGGTTTGTTATGGTACATAACTTTATGTTACCACATCTTGGTTTTCAATAAACTATTTTTCTGTTATTATGTTGAATTATCAAAATATATTCGTAATACGATTCTCCAAACTATCATTATTTTTAACTAAAACATCGTCACGATAAGCTTATTAGGTTAATACAGTAGCACGACCCTTATTTTTTCTCTTTATTCAAAGTTTTATGGACTCCGAGTAAGGCTAATAAAGTTTTATTTATGAATTTAGGACACACATTAAGAATAACAAAGGACAAAAAATTGATTACGTCAATGCAATATTAGGTTTCTTATTTTGAATTTATTCACTTAGAATTTAATTAGCCATACATTAAAATTTTATGTTTATTAATTAATTAAATATACAAAGATCGAACACTTGGAGAGCTTAGGAGTGAATGAATCTTTTATAATGGAGAGCTTTTGATTTAAAAATAATATAAAGGGGAGCAATTACTTCCACGTAAAATGGAAGTAATTATATGTTAATTAAGAGTAAACAACTTTTTCCCACCCAAGGTTTGCTTAATGACACTTTCTCGCCCAAAAAGTTTCAAAATACTACTTTATTACCCAAACGTTATGTTCCGTTAATAATTTCCATTAAATATAATGATATTTATTGTGAAGATGAAAATACCCTACCCTTTATTATGGTCACGCAAGGGTTGGGTGCTTGAGCACGCGCGAGAAAGAGGACTATTGGAGTTGGTTGGGACTTTTCTTCAAACACGTTGTGTGCCAAACAAAATGAAGCAAGGTGAAAGTTAAAACACACAAAAAAGAGCAAAGCCATTAGATCACCACAACCTCAACAAAGAGAAAATTAGTTCAAAAGAACAGCGATGCAACAGTTGAAGAAGTCGTCGAAAGTGGTGAAGAACAACCAATGACAATGTTGATGACCGTCCAAGAAATGACGAAAAATAATTGACTAGAAAAGATTAAATCGACCAATCGACATCGTCAGAATTAGGTGTCCTTTTTTTAATTGACTATCCTACCCTTATTTATAATAGACTTTTGACCATCCTATCCTTACCTGCTGCTCAAATGCTAAGCAAAGCCTTTTACCTCCTCTTCATAAAATGCCTTGCGAGCATTTGGCTCTCTCCATATGACAATTTAGAAAAGATAGAATGATAGGAGGTATTTTTCCATAACACCGCGAACCTACATTAGCAAACACCAATATAGCACCTAATGTAATTACATTCTCAAGGAAGTGCTAACAAATCAAATGATAACCGTCGTTTTCAATTCATCAAGTCCTTGCACCTGCACAAAGCATAAACTTAGCATGCTTTCACAAATTGTAGTCCACTACAGTAACTGGTTGGATTTTGAACAAAGAATGAATACGATTAAATCACCAACAATCAGTAACCATCAAGAGACACCTTTCTAGAAGAAGCCAAACCACAACAGGGCTCATTCAAATTAGTTCTAAATATAGAGTAATATGAAATAGACCGCTATATAGTATAGAGAATGGAAGCAACAGTAACAACAAAAACTCTTGCCCATGTGCCAACCACCCAGGACTCACAAACACCAGAGTAAGCGATCATGATCATTTTTCAAAGCTGCTTGAGTGAAACTGAAACAAACTGATCTATATCCTCACAGACGGCAAGTTCCTCAGGCCATAGGGATAAATGTACATAAGCAAATTATTGTCAGAGAAGCTATCCAAACAGCAGATACAAACAAAGTAAGCCTTAATTGAGTAAAGAGCTACAGTAACCCAAAGTTAGAGTACAGTTTCCGACGATCATCCCGGGTAAGCTCAGTCCCAATACTGCAGAACAATAAAAACAAAAATAAGGATTAAATATCGTAAAATCTGAATAGAAGAAACATATAGATACATATGTAAATTCAGTGGGCAAGCAAATATGGTAACAGTACCTATTATTGCTGATATTGACAGCCCTTCTGTCAGCCTCAAAGCTAGGAGGTCAGACATGATCTCTGCAGTGGCACCACCCAATTTCTATTGGAAAAAACAGATTACACTTGTTAAGAAAATAGTAAGAAACAGTAGAAACTTTGCATATGAGAGGAGGGGGAGAGGAAAGTGGGCTTTCTTAATTTAGCAATCAACCCTAACCTGACAAAACTTGTAAAAATCTTCAAGGTAAGCCTTGTAAAGAGTGTTCCTATTATTCGATGTTCATCATCCAAATCCTACAAGGGAACAAATTGAATAAATCAGCAACCACAGGATACCGAAAGGTCACTTAACAACTGAATATAAAACAGCAAAATCTTTCAAGATGACACTTCTATGGATAAAGATGAGATCCCATTTCTCCACAATTACATTTTAGACATTAATAAGGTGAAAACACAGAGAAATGAAAAGTTTCTTTTTTTTTTTTTTTAAATAAGGACATAGAGGTTTGTTATTATTTAATAAGGACATCAGAAAAATGATTCATTAATGCTGGAAAAAGTTTATAATTTTTTCCTACCTAAAGGTGCTATTTAGTGTCTTCCAACCCTTCTTTAAAAGACTATAAAGCAATTTCAAATACGAAAGAGGGACCTAAACTGACATTTCTTAGAAGTAAAGCACCACAAGCATTCCCCTAACATACAGAAACAAAAAAAAGTGTAAGACCTTAAAATATGATGCAAGATAATCCGCTCTGACACAAATCATATCGTCCATACCTCAGATGTAATACATTCAGAAAAGTATGGAGCTAATGGTGGGTCGAAAAGCACCAATCTGTAAAGCTCCCGCATTTTTGAGCACTGCCAGTGTAGCAAGCTGATGGTGGAAAAGGGAATTTTAAGAAATCTTATGAGACATCAAAAGTTTTAGATGAAAATCACATAGAGTAATATACCTGTCAAACATGCCCAAAGGATGGCATTTCTCCAATAATTCCTGAACATCTCTCTCATGCAAGGTTCCAGTAACAATCAAGACAACGTTGTCTATCATGTGACCATATCTGGTAAAAACACAAATATTTTAATTCTACCCTCTCAATAATTGATTTTATAAAAAAAATAAAAGACCAGTTACCTCTACACCTATTTAAAACAAAGCTTCCAAGCAAACCCAATTTTGTACAATAATCAAATACAGAAATAATATTCAGAAAAAGAAGAGCTGCGTACGTGATGATAGTTAAGAAGATAATATTTTTTTTAAGGTTAAATTGATGAAATTGTTAATAAATTTGAAGGTTAAAAGTGATAACATTTCTAAAATAAAAAATATTCACTAGAAATAGGTCAAATTCACGGGGTTTTACTATAAAAAAAACCCTTAAATAGTTAGGGTTCGACTATAAGGTTATGACGCATACAAACCCGTAAGCAGTTTGAGCTTAACCATGAATAACCGTTATAATTTTCCTCTAAAATTCTAACCCGCTGTTTGTTTCACTCAGTAAAATCATTTTTCTGTTATCTTATTTGGATTAAAAAACAGAATATATGTTTGTTTACTTATTGGGTCATTATTTTGAAAATTAATTTGAATTAAATAAGATTTTTCTATTGAAAATGAAAAGTGGGTGGGACTTGTTTCCATTAACCTATTCTAAATTTCTATCATCATTCCAACTTTATTCAACTAAAAACAATTACATTTCATAATAAAAGATCATAAATTAACAAAAATACCTTCACCTATCCAAGCCATTACTGGCCGCCAGCAACCATCGCCTATCGTTGATCGCTGCTGTCGAAACGATGCATGATCAATCGAATCCAAAAGGACCAAAAGAGAGGTCCACCATGAATTTAGCCAAAAATGACTAGACTTTAACCATTATTGACAACCAAATCTATTTGGCCATTGATGACGGCTCTATTTTTAGAGCTGTTTTTGTTAATTTTGGTGTTTTTGTTAATTTTTAAAATTTTGTTATAGAATGTTTAACTAAATTAAAAAATGTAAGGGTTAAAATATATTTCAATACCAAACAACTACCCATCCTTTCACCGAACTCTTTTATTACACTTTATGCCGTGGCATACTAAAAATCATGCCGCCGAGGAGAGCTCTTGAACAGTATATATATTTAATTCAAATTGATGAAATCATTCCACGTAAATTATTCTGAAGAAGTAATTATCATTAAGAGAAGAAAAATGAAGGCATGAAAGAAACTACTACTTTTATTAACATCATTATTCTGCCTCATGAAAGCTACAGAACCTCATCCTCGGAACAATAATATAATATAAGATGAATAATAATACAAGATCTCTCAGTCTCAATTAAAATAACCATGAAAATAAACACATACAATTTTTCTTTTTTCTTTTTTTTTTTTTATTACACAAATCCTGCGATCGTTGCAGCCAGGTAAACAGCTGCTATTGATGGAACCGAAGATGATGAATAGAGAAGAAGGTGGGGCAATTTACAGCAAGATTATGCAAAAGATCATAAGATTGTTGTTTATAACAGAGTTGAAGAGAAACTAAAATATGAAAACCACACTGTCATGAACTCTAGACTTCTGGTTCTGAGCCACACACTCAGATATCCACATCAGGTTCCTGATCTCCTGCTCCCTCAGCCTCATGTATGCGAAGAAGACACCATAATGGAACTGCAGGTAAGAAAATGCGACGTTAAGTTACTTCCAAGGCTGTCAAAATATAAGGAACATTAGTGTTTAATGTAAAGCAACAGTTCTTGGTAAATGGATC